TTTAGACAACAAAACAAGAGAAAGACCAGCTCCAACATCAAATATTCATCTCCAAAGATAGCATAAAACTCAGGGCCCTTCTATGAATGTGCTATGTATTTGCTGAACCAAAAGTTAAGGTTTCAGAATTTTACTGATTGCCAATGGAATTCACATCTTTCCTTGGTTGGTCATGTGAAAGACAAGGCTTTCAATGATCTAGTGAGATAATTATCTCTTCAATTATCAAGTGAGATAATTGAAATGATGCAAAAATGAAACAGAACAGTTGGAGAAAACCAACTTCTAAAAATCTCTATTATGCTCTTCACTGCATCCTGTTTTCATGATGAAAACTGCTCCACAACCCAGCTCTCATTGCTCATGGATAATCAGGATGCAAGCATAACACAATCTGGAGGAAATATACATAAAGAAGGTAGAAAAGCAAAGAACTAACACCCAGAATAAACTGCAGGAATTCACTGAGTTGGATTATCAAAACCATAGGATTAACTGTTGATATAGATTTTGAGGATATTAGATCAAGGAGGGATCTAATTCTAATTTTTGAATAGGGTCAGATTTCTAGTTATGGCATGGTTAACTGAACTTCTGCAGTTAGTATACCTGCTTAGGAAACTGGCCACAATTCTAGTGGTGGAGCGGCCAGTGGGAACCTGGACTGAAAGCTGGGTTCAATGAAAAGCTAGAAAGCCCTTAGCACAAACTAGAGATCAGTGTTATAGGGGATCCAACAGGTTCAACCTTCTTTCTTACTGATATCTTCACCATGTCCTTAATGGGATCTATAATGCATGCCTTAATAGAGGGTGCACATTGGTGAGGAAAGCACCTGAATCTTTTAGAAGGAAGAACTGACACCAAAATGGGATTCTTGATCTTAGTGAGATGAAAAAAGCTTCAGAGGCCACACCATAACCTCCAAAACAAATGCAAGCTGCTGGAGTAATAATCTCCCTTTATCAAAAGGCTAGGTCCGAGGCAAGTCACAGAGATCCTAACTGCTACAGGAGACTTAAAAGTTGTGGGTAACAATGAGATAACCCATTTACATGTGTGAGTTTAGTGATGGCATGAAGCAAGTGCTCCGTAACTGCTAGTATTAACTATTCTGATGCTTCCTATTACTCCCATGTAAGTTACCAAATAGATGAGATGACAGTTTTTAGGAACGTCAGTATAATAGCACACACAAATCATGTGGAGCTGCAGACTGCAGTTGCTTTTCCACGTGTGCTCGCCTTCCTAAAGATTAATACAACCACTGGTATCTGGAATTTCACTATTAATAAGGCAGGTGTACTTATTTTTTCCTCTACGATGCAAACACTACATGATGCAGTTCCCCTCCTCATGGCAGGAGCAGCTTTCAGTGGTCAATCATCCTGACCTCTCTCTGCTGTGAGCTGGTTCACTGGGGTTTTGTCTTAGTTTCACAGGACATCACCCTGACAACTATGCTGATAACAAGAAGCTAACAGAACTTGAAGAACAGGATATTATGTATCTTAGACGTAAATGACAGACATAAAAATAAAAATACAGTGGCTTGCCACCTAGGCCAAGTTTTCTGAAAGTCAAAGGCCCACAGCACGTCACCGCCTACCATAAAGAACAACTTGCTGCTCCTTACCCCTGTGCCTCCAACCTCCGCCCACTTCAAGGAGGAGGAGTGATACTTGCTGGGCCATTGCAGATTTTGGAGACAACACATCTCATGCTGGTGTCCTGCTCTGAATCATTTGTTGAGTGATCTGAAAAGAGAAGGCTTTCTAGCTGATCCAGGCCAGAGAAATGAATTCTGGTAGATTTTGGGGGCCTTAAGTGTCTCTGGGTAAAGCTGAGCAGGAGAACTGTAATGAAAAAACCTCAGAATCTGCGGACAAGATCATGATCCTGTCAGCAACATCATGCTCCTAGTTTAGCACTGGGCTCTGGTAATGATGTAAGCCTGGCCATGGGACACTAGATATCCATGACTTTAACTGCTCATTATAAACTTAGTGTTGCTAGGTCGTTCAGTCGTGTCTCTTTGGCAACCCCGTGGACTATAGCCCACCAAGCTCTTCTGTCCATGGGATTTTCCGGGCAAGAATACTAGAGTGGGGGGACTTCCCTGGTAGTCAGTGGCTAAGATTCCACACTCCCAATGCAGGGAGCCTGGGTTTGATCCTGGTCAGGGGACGAGATCCCACATGCCACAACTAAGAGTTCCCACGCCACAGCTAAAAAGATCCTGCATGCTACAATGAAGATCAAATATTCTGCATGCTGCAACCAAGACCTGACACAGCCAAATAAAGCAAAATAAAGCAAAATAAAAAAAGAACACTGGAGTAGGTTGCCATTTCCTTCTCCAGGGGATCTTCCTGACTCAGACACTGAACCCACGTCTCCTGCATTGGCAGGCCGATTCTTTACCACTGAGCCACCTGGGAAGCCCAAACTTATTATTATATAAGTATAAGCTCTAAATTGGGAAATGTCCAGAATTCAGCTGAAATTGATGTGTACAGAACACATGCCACACACCCACTCCTTCAATAGATTCCACTGACTTCCTGATGATACTAACAGTTGACTAAAGGAGAAAAAAGTCCAGCCTAGTGTACAAATGGCTCTGTGAGTCACGCTAGCCCATTCTGGAGGTAGACTGCTATGGGATAATCTACTTAGGTATCATTCTGAATAAAAGAGAAATTCATCTGGTGAACAGAACTTCAAGGAAGGTATCACACTATCCACTTCACTGGATATCAAGATCTAAGCTGACCCCTGGGTAGCAGATAACTGGACAAGAAAGACAGGAAATACGTATTATGCTCCCTGTGTATGCTCACCAGATGGCACTCACTGCAAGAAGCCAAGAGATGTTGATCAGCTCTTTCCCTCACCACCCCAACTGCACATATGTGGCCACGGTGGCACGGCAACTGGCTGTCACAATACCTATCTGAATTTGCCTACTGTGCCTCTGAGGAACACCACCTCTACCCAGATATTTGTTACGGGATCTCAGGGAATTATCTCCAAACAAAGAACTCATTTTACAGAAAAAATATGGCTACAAGGTTACATACTCATTACTCAGAAGTAGCTTACACCACAATTACAAAACAACAGAATGCCTACTGGAGACCTAGCTATAGTGTTGAGGCTAGGGTGCTATCTTGTGGGATAAGGTGAAATGTTCTTAGTCAACAATGAGTATTAAATGGTGTTGTTCTTCTAACAGCCAGAAAAAGGGGTCCAAGTTATTACTTAACTCTTCCATGGTAAATGGTCTTCTGCTTCACCTCTTGCTTCCCTCCCATCTATTCTCCAAATTGTAGCTAGTGATTTTCTCAGACTGTAACTCTGACCACATCACTCTCCACTCCAAGCCCTTCAGTGGTGGAGCAAATGAGTGGTGACCCACCCACCCAATAATCATTCCTCCTCTCCTCCTTGCTATAAGAGCTCCCATTCTATGGGTTATCCACCCATCTTCTACATGACACAGGAATAATATGGATTGGTCTCCACCAGCTGCAGTAGGTCTATTTCTCCCTTGCCTGTGACTAGTTTGTGAAAGAATATGTGACCAGGTAAGTCCCTAGAAGCTTTATCTCCATTTGTGCCTACAACTAGGGCAACCATTACTTGGGGGGGGGGGGGGGGGGCTGTGTTGCATGGTTTTTATGGGATCTTAGTTCCCCAACCAAGGACTGAACCCAGGCCCTCAGCACAGAATGTGTAGTGTCCTAATCATTGGATCACCAGGGAATTCCCGGGGAAGCCATTCTGGCATCATGAGGGGACCCAGCCTAAGAAACAGGGCTGACACATGGCTGAGTGGAAAGGTATAAATGAGACTGAGAGTTCAGCAATGCCCAGGTTGATGAATTAGCCAATTCTGGAACTGTTTTTGTGTCCTCAAATCCACTCCCCTCTCCCTAATCATTACCACTTTACATCCGTCTGATCAGCACTTCTGGTCTAACTGCTGCAGCCCCTAAGTGTATTTCCTGTTTCTATCCTGGTCTCCCCATTTTCTTTTCTATCCTGGCTATTCCCTAACCACCAGTCTGAGTCATTTTTTTCAAAATACAAACCTGGCTGGTCTGTGGCTTTCCACCTCCCTCATGACAGCCTACAGGATCTACAGTCTGGCTCAGTCTTCTACATTTTCATCTCCCTCAAGTCTCTGCTTTTCAGCCACTCACAGCTTTTATTATTCTTTGAATGTGTCTTCCCTCACCCACCGTCACTACTGACAGATTGATTCTGATATTCCCAGTACCTGGAATGTTCCCCATCTGCCTTTCCCCAATGCCCTTGCCTATGATTGGGTCTCAATTAAAACACTGTTTTGTTTTGTTTTAAAGTAAATTCTGAATTAGTGGACTGGGATCAGCAACTGGTAGATTCACAAACATGGTCTGCTTTCTTGAGGGAGTTATAAAATATACAAATGTAAATACTACCCAAGATGAGGCCTGTGCCCTGCAATCTGCCATGGTCTTCATTTTCCACAATGACTTCCTCCTATTGTCTACTCAAGATATCCTGGGAGCCCTTGGCTCTAGACTCTCAAGGCTATACCTCTTAATGTAGGTTCCCATGCCTCAGCACCAGTTCTTCATGTCCTCCAGTTCTTCATGTTCTATACTCTGTTTGAACTTACACACCAAGTTCCCTGAATGCAGGGACTATCTGCTTTTGCTCCCCTCGCAAAACCCTGGCACCTCACATATGTTAGATTCTGGATAAGTAAATAAAAGTAACAGACGCAATGATGAATGAATGGATAGATGGGTAGATGAGGGAGGCAAGGCAATTTTTTTTTTTTTTTCATTTCCTGTCCATGATCACATAGGAAAGAAGTCAGATGAACCTGGTAAAAATTTCGTACCTCTGAACCCATTAGAAACCTGTTTTCTACCCCATCACTCAAAAGGCTTGACCTTAGGTCTGCCTTCTCCCTGCTGATACACCAGCCTCAGCAAAGAACTCACGTTGAATTCCTCTCTGAAGAGCTTATTGTCATCAGCCATTCTCCGGTTAATCTCCTCTTCCAGCTTGTCCACAGGCAGGGGCGGATACTTCCTGTTGGTGCTTGGGGACCTGGCCAGAAGTGGTACGCTCTGGGGTTCTGCAGTGCATAAGGGGGAAGGTTGGTCAGGTGCCTTTGGGACACAGCTTTTCTCTGGAGACCAAATTATGGGCTCAAGCTCATGGGCCAGGCATTTAAACACTAGTGCTGCTCTCAATTCTTTTTTTCTTTTAGGATGGGGAAACTCCTATTTTCTTGATTTTTCTTCTCCATGAAAGTCCCCCACGTCATTCAGGGGTGTCTTACCCACATCCTCAGTGCGGCCATTGGATAAGCGGAAAGAATTGGAATGGCTCCCAGCTTGCTTGTATTTCTTAAACCTAATGAGAAAATGTTCACAGTGAAACACTAAGCATGGAGTCAGAGAGACCAATCACCGGTTTGTAGCTCCACTTATCAATTCAGCCTTTACACACTGAGGCAGCTCCAGTGGAGACTGAGCACCTCAGTGTGCTCCTGCTTAGCACACTAGAATTCAACCCAGGAGACCCCACAGTATGTTCTCGTTGGAATGGCTCCTCTGCACAGTTCCAGTTCCAGGATTTGCTGCAAATCACAGGTGGAGATGCTGGGTAGGATATGTGGGTATAATAAAGTGGAGGGAGATAAAAGAGTATCAAACAAAAATCCTGGTACTTTCTGGGTGTAATAAGAGAGAAACTCAGAGCTTCAGACTTGTTGGCACAGGTCTGGCCACAAGTCTCCTCCAGAAAGACAGGAGACACAAGTCAAACCATAGGGGTGTACGAGGTTCCCCTCTCTTTATCCATACAGAAGAACAGAGGGAGCCCAGAGCAGCTTAAGCCAAAAATAAGGACAGAGTTAAACTCAGTCAGGGCAGTGACTCCAGTAGGAAAAGAACAAATGTACCTCTCACTTCCCTCCCTTGGGTTTCCCTTCCTGGCTTTTGCTCCCTGTTTGAGGAGTATCATCTAGAAGACCCTGGAAGAAAGTCAGGAAGAGGAACCCTGTTGCTTACATGGTTCCGTTCAGCATGCTGAGTCAGGGGCCCTAGAGGGGTTTGGGGTCAAAGCCCCAACAAGAAATCAAGTAGACCTTTACTGAACACATAATTTCCACTGGGGCGCTTTCAGGGGTTGTTTCAATAGGGCTAGATCTGAAGACCTTAAAATGCTGATCAGTAACAACAGACTGTGGCGTCTTCCCTCAACCTCTAAACCACGGTCCTGGGCTTTAGGATGAACTGGAGTTGAGGGACTGGACTTGGGACAGATGGAAGCAAAGGGAAGGGGCTGGGTTTTAAGACTATATAAAATTTTAAAAACATTTTTAAGCAGAATTTTAATCTTAGGAACGCTACCATGAGTCATTCCCTCTATCCCATTCATTGTCCTTATCTTACTGTCTTTTGGACTTGTGGGCTTATCCAGAACCGGGGGTACTGAAACAGAGTCCACAAGAATGCAGAAGCATCAGCATGCTCACCTTAACATGTACAAAACTATGATAATAAACACGATCACTAGAAGAGAGGACAGGGCCACCATCACTGCAATAATTGGCGTCTCATCTGAAATCAAGAGAACAAAACATGTTGTTAACCACTGTAGGTAATGGAAGGCTTGAGTCTGCTCAGGGAAACACTCAGATGAGGAAGAACAGCTCTTCCAAATGCTTATGTATTGACAGATGGCTGGGCATGGGGAGGAAGAGAGGGAGAAAAGAAAAGAGTGCCAGCCCAGGGTTACTGGGTGAAGAGGAGGGTAGAGCAGGGTAAAGGCCTAGGGTGACATGCCCACCCGACCTCACTTATCATATGTTATGTTTATTCTCCGTTTTCCTACATTAGAATGAAAGTTCTTTGAAAGCAGAGACTGCTTCTTTCATTGCTACAAAGCCTAAGACAAAACCAGTGCTCAGCATGTAAGAAACACTCAAATATTATAAAGCATGAACACATCCAATCCTGATAGCAAGCTGGGGTGTAGGCCCAACAGTGTACTTTCTCCCAGGCTCAGTGGGCTCCATGAAGATGGGAGAGAAAGGAAAAAGGACAATTTTCCTACCATAAATGTAAACAGTTTCCTGGAAGAGAGAATACTGTTCCTGATTAAAGCAAGGAGATATTATTGGATCTTTAAGCACTGTGTGTCTAAAACTGCTGGTTACTCTTTTCTTCCTCTTTCCACAGTCATCCTTTTCTACCTCTTTCCACAGTCATCCTTTTCTACCTCTTTCCACCAGGACCCCAACTACAGCAACATCTGGCCTGGAGGAGATACAGAAACTCAGCCCTCCATTCCACAGGGCCTGGCTTCCTTTCCACCCAAAATGAGCCTCACCCTCCGCCTGCACTTTCATGCCCCTGCCACGAACTACACGACCAGTATGAATTTCTAACTATCTTCACCATTTTCCACCTTTTCTAGCAGCATCACTTTCTGCCCTCTGCAGCAGATCCCTCCATGTAAAAGTCAATCCTGTCACATGTGGTCTGTATTACATCTGTTACTGTCACCTCAAATATCTGTTGTCTTGATCTCATTGATCATCTTCCTACCACCCACAGCCAGTCCCATGTCTCTCTTCACAGTTAGCTTCTCACAACAGTTATCTTATAAAACAGTTGTCTTCTCTAACCTCTTACCTCTGGGTACTCCACACTGTTTTGCTCTGACACCTACCCTGAGTACACCCTTTAAATTCCTCATGAAGGACACCAACAAATAGCATATTGCCGAATCCAACGGAAACATTCCCACCCTCATCTGATTCAACCTCTTACTAGCATTCATCCAAAGAATACTTATGGACCCACACTGTATGCCAGACACTGTTCCATTCACTGGGAGTAGAGAAGTGATTAAACAGACAACTGACAGAGAGCTGACATTCTGGGGGATGAAGGAGAAAACTGATCATAAACAATTTCAGAGATAAGATATATGATGAAAAGAAGGGTAAGGGGATACAGAGTGATGGGCTGTGGGAGAGGGCAGTGGCTGGCTAAATTAGAGTAGTCTTGGAAGGTCTGAAGTAGTTATACTGAGCAGAGGTGTAAATAATGTGAAGAAGTGTATCATAAAAAGGTCTGTGCAAAGAGCTTTCTAGGCCCAGGGACTAGTGAGCATAGGAGTCCTTAACAGTTTGGTGGGTTCAAGAAAGAGCACAAAGACCAGATTTGGTACAAGATGTGGCTAGAGAGGTGGGCAGGAATGAGAAGACTTTGCACTCCACGGTAATGAGTGTGGACTTAATTCTGAATGTGATGAGAAACACTATGTCACTGGAGGGGTTTGAACAGGGGAGATATATAAATAGACTTACATTCTTAAAAAGACCAGGAAGTCAAACTAACTTGTAAGTAGCAGTCTTAATGTAGGAGGTAACCCAGGAGAATGTGGTGTCATGAAAGCCAAGAAGAGTTTTTCAAGATGGTGGGAGTAATCAACTCAGGCAAATACTATAGACAGATTAAGTAGGATGAAAACAGAGAAGTGAAACTTAATTTGACAAGAGGGTAGTTATTGGTAACCTTTTCAAAAGACTGGTTTCAGTTAAGTTATTGAGAAAGCCCAAATGGAATGAAATAAAGATGGAAAGAAAAGACAGTGAGACACCGATTCCTTATCTGAGGTGAGGACTTTCATCATCAAGAGATGCAGAGAAAAGCAGCAGCTGGAGGCAGAGGCAGGATGGAAAGTTTGTCTGTTTTTAAAGAGATGGGAAATATCATAGCATGCTTCTTTGTTGATGGCAGTTTTCAAACATACCCTGGTATGTGAATCTCATATTAAAATGAGCATTCAAACTGGCTGACTATTCCCTCCCTTTTGAAGAACTTTCTTCTCTTCAGTTTCCACGAGAAAGCACTCTTCTTTCTGTTCCTTGGCTGCTTCATATCTTCCCTTATCAGTTGTTCCTTTTCTCACACAGAACTTTAAATGTCTGATTTACTCAGGGTTTTGTCCTTGGCACTCTTCTCAATACTCATCCAGTTGATCAGATCAGGCTGGAAGCTCAAGTTATATGCTAGCAATTTCCACATCTGCACTGCTTGGTCAGACTTTTCTTCAAACTCTTCTGAAAGTAGATCTTACCTCTACTTTAAATTTCACAGGCAATGCCACCTTCCTGCATTTAAAAAAGTTTCCTTCACCAGTAACTCAGTAGTTAGCACTGCCATCCATCCACCCTACTGCTCACCTAAGAAATGTAAGAATTCCCTTAATTTCTTCCTTAGGCTTATCTTCTATATGCAACTCAGCTGCAAGTAATATTTTGTTTGTTTTTAAAAATAGTCTCTCATCGTATTTTTTGGGCTGCGTTGTGTCTTAGTTGTGGAGCGTGGGCTTAGTTGCTCTGTGGCATGCGGGATCTTCATTCCCTGACCAGGGATTGAACCTCCGTCCCTTGCGTTGCAAGACAGATTCTAAACCACTGGATCACCAGGGAAGTCCCTGCAAGTAATGTCTTTGTAGTAAAACCAACACCTGAAATTTGTCTGCCTTTTTTCCCTTCTTTTGCTATCACTCTAGTCTAAATCTTTGTCCTTTCTCATCTGAATCACAGTAAGCCACTGTCCCTTGCCAGTCCATTTTCCAAAAAGCAGGGACAGTGATCTTGAAGAAAGCAAATCAGATCATAGTCTCCACTTACGTAAAACCTTCCAAGGTTTCCCAGGCCTTTAGACTGAAATCTAATATCCTTACCTTGGCCAGTAACAACCTCCCCCATTTAGCCCCTGCTTTTTCTGTCTTCTCCACTCTTTCGTTGCTCACTAAACTTCAGTCACTGGCAGCCTTCCATGCTGGGTTCACTCTTTCGTTGGGCCTTTGAACCCTATTCCTTCTGCTGTATTTAGTGTTCCTCCATTCTTGACTTGACCTAGCTAACTCCTAGTCATTTGAAAAGACCCTGGTGCTGGGAAAGATTGAAGGCAGGAGAAGGGGACAACAAAGGATGAGATGATGGCATCACCGACTCAATGGACAGGAGTTTGAGTCAACTCTGGGAGTTGGTGATGGACAGGGAGGCCTGGAGTACTGCAGTCCATGAGGTCGCAAAGAGTCGGACATGACTGAGTGACTGAACTGAACTGAACTCCCTAGACATTCAGTTCCCATTTCAGGTATTACTTTTTCCAGAGAGGTCTTTTCTGACTTAATATTAAATTAGGTAAGTCTTAGTTTCCCTATCTCTAAAATCAGTTATTCTAAAGATTAAATGAGATTATCCACGTAAAGTTCTTGGCACAGTTACTTGCACACAATTACATACACAGTCAATGTTAGCTTTTTTTTAAAATTTGCCCAGAACACTGTTATTTCCTTTGAAAATACCCCTTACATTCTGTATTTATTTGAGTAAAATTGATTATGAGTATCCCTCCTTTATACGCTAAATTCCATAAAGGCAAGGATTATATACTTGCTTTGCTTCTCACCATATGCTTAACACCTAGCACAGAATTTCACACATAGTGGGTGCTGAACAAACACTAGATGGACTACACTGAGTGAATGAATAAAAGAATTAATGATTTATCATCATATTATGTCTCAGTTCAATGCCAATCACAGAGGGCTGTATATCAGGTATTAAAAGAAGGTAATTAGAAGACATCTGGCTCAAGATAGTGGGCTGAATCCACGATTTTATTTTTTTCTCTTGCCAAAAGGACACTGAAATGATAGAAGAAATAGAGTGGCATCAGTAGACCAGAAACTTTGAGGGATCTGTGGAAGACAAAGCAGATGGAATTAGACTGCTAAAGAGATGAGGGCTAAAGAAGCTCCAGTTGAGAGGTAGTACTAGTTCTACCAGCCTGGGCCGAGAAACACCTCAAACTCAAGAGTCAACCAGGACTAGGGATAAAAGTAGGCTCTGAGGTAGCAGGGTATTTAACCAAAGGCTCACCAACCACAGCTGGTATCTAATCCTGGTTCAGTTGGAAAAACAGTGCTCTATACAGAAAGGAAGTGTACTGATGGCTCCTTTATTAAGTATATAGAAATAAATAGAAGCTCCATATATATTTTATACCTTATTATAGAAAACTTGCAAACTCCCACAGGGGAAAAGAGAACACTACAATAAATCCCTATGCACTTATCTTTTCACTTCAATAGTATCATCACATGCCAGTTTTTTCATCTTTACTAGGTCTGGGTTTCTCAGCTGCACACTAACACTGTGGGATAACTAATTCTCTGTTGTAGGTGGTTGTCGTGTGCACCATAGGATGTTTAACAACATCTCTGGTCTCTAGCTACTAGATGCCAGTAGAAAACCCTTAATTGTGATGACCAAAATCAGCTTCTGTGGTTAAGTCACTAAGTCGTGTCCTACCCTTTGCAATCCCATGGACTGTAGCATGCCAGGCTCCTCTGTCCATGGGATTTTCCAGGCAAGAATACTGGAGTGGCTTGCCATTTCCTTCACCAGGGAACCTTCCTGACCCAGGGGTTGAACATGGGCCTCCTGCACTGCAGGTGGACTCTTTAACAACTGAACCACCAGGGGAAGCCCAAAAATCACCATCAGATGTTGCCAAGTGTTTTCTAGGGG